TAGCGATCACGCATACGCGAGTTTACAGGCAGTGGCTTCTCATCAGTGTGCACAGCCTCCGAGAACCCAGTCAAGCTTAGCGTGCAAAAACGATATCGACAACAGCTCTCATTGGAATTTGGCCTTCACTCACCTGAATTGGCCACAGCCGGCCAAAGATTAACAGACGCAATGTGGGTCAAGCAGCAGTGAGACCCGCGAACTGGCGCCCGACGCTTTGCGGTCGGAAAGGGGGCACAAGGGGATGGGATGGATGCCTCCATGGCAAGGCCGTAACCATGGGGTCAACATTGGGGGGGGACCAAATCTTCCAGAGGGTCTGGGGGTCCCCCCCCCAGAAAAAAAACGTCAATTTGAAAACGAATTTACTGCCATTTCCTGCCTGAAATATTTTAAAAAATCACTAACACATAGGATGGATTTTTGTGTTGTTACAATAATGTCTAATAGTGTATTGTATTGCATTGCCCTGTTTTTTCTTTTTTACCTTTTTTTGTTTCATTGTATGTAACGGCAGACATTAGGGATTAATAAAGTACAACCATAACCACAATCATATAAACAGAAATCTATTTATAACGATATATTGGGGGGGGGGGACATTTTGAGCATATTTGAATATTGGGGGGGATTTGCCTCCCCCCAATATCTAATAATTACGGCCTTGCTCCATGGGACTCCCACACACTCACGAGTTTGCGGAGATCTCGGCTGAATTGTGGGGTAAAAGCGAGCACTGAAAATGACCGTACTTCGTCGTGTGACATCGCCACCATCACGGCGCGACAGCCAGGGCCCCTTGGACATTTGCAGCATTCAGATGTCGGGAGGAATTTTATGTTCCAACTACTTGGAACGTAAAACGGCTTACCACGCCTCGAGCCTGCACGGATCGCACCTCTTGCCCAATGCCACGCGTCTATCCGTTGTATGATTTCTAAATGTGGGGGGAAGGGGGGATGGCTTGCACCACGCCCGGGGTTATTTTAAATGTTACAGTGCATACGCTGCACTATAGAATTCCTGCCAGAGGTCGCAACCGGGTACCCGATACCCGTACACTACCCGATAACCGGCTACCCGTACCCGGCCGGGTACGGGTAGACCTTGAGTCACTGGTGAGTAACGGTTTGTCACTCATTTCCCAACGTCTTGTCTCTTCTCACAATTCAAGTTCCTAGAATCAACCCACCCGCACCTGCAACATGGCTTCATCAGTTACCCGATACCCGTACCCTACGAATATTAACAAAATATACCCGTACCCTACCCGTACCCGGCCGGGTACGGGTAGGGTACGGGTACGGCCGGGTACGGGTACCCGTTTGCGACCCTGGTGCGGCCGGGTACGGGTACGGGTAAGGAATCAAAATCCGTTTGCGACCTCTGATTCCTGCACGCGGTGAGAACGGAATTATACGTAGGTGGACAACGTTGCCTTCATAATCGTGACCTCATTCGCATAAAGCGAATAGCATGACCTTTCAAATGCCATCCCATTCATTGCAATTGGTGAATTAGCTTAGGTGGGGTTCTCAGGACGTATATATATATTCAAATGTGCCCGTTTATATTTTGTTAATATTCGTAACTTTTGTTCTCTACGCATGATGTTTCGCCCGTACCTCCGATGGGCTGTTACACGTTCCTCTGTATGCATCACTTGGTTGGTGGTGGTGCAAGTGGAGTAATCGTCATCTCTTTCCATCTGTACGGGGACGATAGCGTGTTGCCCCCTCGCTCGAGTGGGCTTTCTCCATGTGCTCCGGTTTTCTGCCACGTGTATAATAATAATAATAAATAATAATAAACAATCATCCCTAATTGTCTGTAAACATCATAGAGTAAAAACATTGCCAGGGCCTCCTAAAAAAGGGTCCAATGACCAAGTGAGGCTCTCCTGGATTAATAAATTATCGTTTTCTTACTCTGTTGTTATTGCTCTGATGTTGTTCTTCTTACTCTGATGTTGTTGTTCTTACTCTGATGTTGTTGTTGTTCTTGTCCTGTGCTGACGTCCGAAGGGTTTGCCTCGCAAACGAGCTGGGTAACTGTAGAAACGGTAGTTTTCCGGGTGATAAAAACCCCCATTGAATTTGATTGGGCATACAAATTTCCCATTTATTACGAAGATGCCTTCTTCAGGAAGAAGAGCGATTCACCATTGGAACCTCCTTTGCCAGCAGCAAAATATGATCATTGGTGTTTTACCCTTTTATTTGGCAACACAACTGACACATTTTTTTACAAGGAGTCATGTTTGTATTGACCACAATACCTGCAGAATGCAAACAAAAAACACAACTCTGATAATGTATGCACTGTCCTTGAAATTGATTGGTCCACACCCGAGACAGCTTTTCTTAGAGCCTCGTCTCACATGGTGTTGGACCAGATGACGCATTTTGGCGTTTTTTGTTTGCATTCTGACCGCAGGTATTGTGGTCAATGCAAACATGACTCCTTGTAAAAAAAAAGCTGTCAGTTGTGTTGCCAGATAAAAGGGGTAAAAACCAATGTTCAAGAAGAGCGATTGCCCACAATGTGAACTTGAAGTGCATGTTTTGGTTCGTAGACAGTGGCGATGATGCTCGTGGTAGTGTTCTCATGCACCGTTGCCAACGGACGTAGCACGTGTTTGAGGCTTTGTTAGCGAGACGATATTTAAAATCACAGTCGGGGGTGACATTATTGCAGTGGCGTTATATTGAAAAGCATTGGCCTGACGCAACAGTGTGATTATGCGAGTGTCTCTGTGATGTTAAAGTATTTTTTTCTCGTTAATAGAGCTTCAGGCCCATGTTGAACAGCCGAGGTATGTATCTGTGAAATGTGATCTATTTTTTTTGTATATATTTTCTCCGAATAAAAAAAAAGTCTTGCATTGAATTGGTGGCCGATTGAATGGGTCGGTTCAATAGTTTATCAAAAGCAATGACTGATAAATAAACAGAAGCTACTGAATTATACAACCAGTGCCAAACAAATCCTGGGAAGTGTGAATTGCTGCTTCGTGCTGTACTTGTGAAAACATCAGTTTGCAAATTAAAAAGTGACTGTGCAGAATGTTCTCGTTTTATTCAACTCCGATTTAAATTTAGTTCACAAAGACAACACACATGCCAGAGAGAGAGTGGACTAGTGCACTGTCAGTACAACACGGGGGGAAGGGAAATTTGCTCGCACATTCTCACATTAATCATTTTTTTGCGCGCTTTGTTTTCACGTGTACTTCGTCATTGTGACTTCCAATGCCTTGGAACACTTCCAAAACTGAAACACTTTAAGAATCCTGGCCATGAGCCAAGGTGGCACACGCGTAAGGGAGAGAGGAGACGTGGGGGGAGGGTGCGCGTTACTGCGGCTCCTGTCAACCAAAGGCAGCATGGCAAGAACAATCTGCCATTCTTGAGTGTGATGGTCGCGAGCTGCGCTGCAAACCCGGCGACCCGAGTTCGATTGCCGCTCACGGCCAACATCAGTGACGATTATCTGAACGGGTCCGCGACTTCCTCTAGGTTGACTCAACCTCAAATGAGTACCTGGTGCGGTGTGTAAACATCGCCGCTGGGGAGACAAAGGCGGCCGGGCGTGGTGCTGGCCACCCACCACCTCGTGTGCTGTGCCAGCCTTCATAGGTGCTCGCTAACAGCACTTGCCCCAACAGTCTGTTAAGACTATACGGGAGATCTTTGTCTTTGGGGGGAGGGGGGTCCGTGAGTCATTATCAGTGCGGATACATGGGGACAACGCAAAGCTGAGTGCATCGTTTCCACAACATACCATCTTTGCAGTGTGGATGGAATGGCTTTTATCAGTCAAAGCGGACAGTCTTTACTTGATGAATATACTCTTAGTTTTTTCGGTAAAGTCACGTAGGTAAAAAATGAAATAAAAATTAATAAAAATAAAATAATAATAAATCACGACGTTTCGGAGGCAACACAAGTCTCCGTCATCATTTCATTGTTTTACCTACGTGACTTTACCGAAAAAACTAAGAGTATGAATCCTTGCAATCACGAAAGCTTCAAATCTAGAATTTACTTGATGTCTTTCTGTTTGGGGCTTTCACAGTTGTCAAGATCCATACGAATAAGCATACCAATTGATAAAAGCGATCCAATCAGTTTAAAATGGGTAGAATTCCAGTTACTTGAACGTGTGCGCGTATGATTATGCGCAGGGGAAGTTTGCGAGTGCAAAATAACACCCTTGCATGCTCACACCGAAACACTGCACGGCGCTCCAATGTGTTCCTGCGTGGTACCGCGCGTTGCTGCCCGGCACGTTGTCCAACGTCTGGCTCCGCGTTTCTCGAGGAAGCCGAAGAAGGTGCCAAGCACGTGGAGCGAAACGTCGGACATCGTGCGGAACAACACGCGGTAACATCTGGCGCATCTTTAACACACCGGTGTGTGCTGTATTAGTAACGAATTGGCATGTTCTGTTTATGTGCCAAACCTTACTAATTGGCTGTGTCGGGTGATGGCGTGTTTAATGACGCATTTACATTCACGCAATCTAACCCAAAAAAATGTATTATGGACATCTTTACAATTACATTTTTACGTACACAATGTAATTCTTTTTTTAATTCGAATTGAAAATATGTTCTCCCATTTTTCATGCAGAACTATTACATTAATGGACAACTATCCACACGTGTGATGTTTGACCTCACAAGCTAAGCAGCAATGAGCATGGGTAGGTGACCAGGGCTTGCCAGGTGTTGCAGGTGGCCAGGAAATGCAAGTGTCGCCCCTAATATGTGCGGATTTTCTCCGGGTACTATAGTTTACTCTCGCATGACAAATACTCATTACATGGTACTGGCCAAATATTCCAATGCAGGGCCCCACCGAAAAACAATCTTGACATTCATTTAAGTATTTCTGGAAAAAAATGGCATTATTATCTTCATCATCATCATCATCACCTGTGAATATTTTTCAACAGTAAAATAAACATGTAACATCACACCTTGTCTAGAATTGTGGCTCTTTATTAAGCAATCAGCACAAATGAAGCACAGTACCGTATTTCAAAAATGTCAACGTGAGCTCACGCAAGACCACCGAGCATTGATAGAAACCGGGCCAAGAGCCGGGTGAGCAGGCGATGTGGTTCATGGACATTTGACACGATGTGAAAGCAAGAACTCAGAAGAGAGAAACTGGCAGGACCAATAGAATGGCATCTCCACGTTACGAGACAAAGAATCTGCTGGGGAAATCGCACAGAGTGATGCACAAGCTTTGAGACAGCGTGTGGCCGTGGAAGAGATTTTTTTTTTCGAATGGGCCTTTTTTATCCTTTACTCTGCACGTGGTGTACTTTCGCGCATACATACTCTGGTATGATAGTTGGTCACATTGCAGAGTTGTCATTGTATGATAGATTTTTGTTGTTGTTGTTGTTGCAAAGTCACCGGTGACCAGGCTGAGATCATGCACCGTGCGCACTTGAGAAATTGGTTTAATCACGAGTGGCTAGCCGAACTTTTTTTTTATTTACTGTCATATTTAGGTTCAAATGTAATGCAATCAAGTAACTTGGAGGAAAGTGTGACCACTCATTTCAAAAGCTTGAGACTTTTGACTTCCTCATTTCGATTTATGTTCTTAAGATTTTCTCAGCGTGTCTATTGATCCTGAAAATAATTGCGAAAGTACAACAAACAGCTGGAAACATTTCAATGCGATCAACTTTCATCAATATTAATATTTACATCTCATAATTTTGGCACACATAATCATCCGAGGGTATAATAAAAACGATAATAAATTATAAAGTAGGCAAACTTTTTTAACGCAGCATAGCATATGCAAAAAAAAAATCACAGATGGAAAAAAAATGCATTTACATCATATTCAAGTAACTTTACAGAGAGTGACTTTAAATCCACAATAAGTTATTCTGGACATGTGTAAGTTTTTTGTATTTCGGATGCTATTTTCTGTTAAAGAAAATAAAACACCAAAAAAAACATTTTAAATAAACAAACGGTTCTACATCCTAATGATGCTTCGATAATAGAGCTCTTATTTTTTGCCCCGACTGTTATTACATTATTTTAAAATTAAACGTTTGTTTGCAATGGCTTTCAACTTACCGAAAATAGAACGGCACAGCCATACTACCGATGTGTACATATTAATTGTCTTCTTAGTGATAATTAACTCCCTAGTTGTTGAAAGGACACAGAGGGTCGGCTGAACAGCAGATGTTCCCATCCTGTGAAAAGAAAAAATATATAATTAGGGGGCCGTCCATGAATGACGTCACGCACCTAGGGGGAAGGGGGGGGGTCAGACATTTGTGACGATGTGTGACGAGGGGGGGGGGGGAGTATAAGAAATGTGACGTCACATCAAAATGCGCAACTTTTAGACAACACGTTCTACTTAATGAATGTTTTCTCCTACAACATAAGAGTGCAGCGCCACATTAAATACACAGTACATTGAAAATAGTTTAAAGCGATGTGAAGCTTCTTTTATTTTCAAAATGGAAACATGATTTGGGGGGGGGGGCAGAGCTTTGTGACGTCATATTTGTGGGGGGGTCTGACTTTTTGTCACGCCGTGTGACTAGGGGGGGGGGGGGGTCAAAAATCGTCCAAAATCGCGTGACGTCATTTACACACGGCCCCTAATATGTTTGTACCCAATTATACGATCATAACTACCACCATCGTCATCATCCTAATCAGCCATCATACATCCACCGATGGATCAAGTTCCTCCCCACATTGTCAGCAGCATCCATCACAGTGCATTCATCTCACTCCTGCACGTGACCTGACCTCATCGCTGCATCTCTGCGGCGCTTGGCCTGATTCTCTCCTCTGGCTGCCATGCCGTGTGATCAGTCTCATCCATCGGCCATAACAATAGCCACCTTTATACATGTATCAGACAATCATCAGGAATGTGCCCGATCTCATCAGATCTTACAAGCCAAGTCAGAGTTGAGCCTGGATGGTGTTTGCATGGTGAGCACTATGCGCAAATAGGCAGTGGAGGGGGAAAAAAAACTCCGTTGTTGTACTGGACTTATACAAATTTAACATCTCTGCTGCCCACCTTCAACTTACATTGATGCTGCCCGCCTTGACTAGCCCAAACTGACCAGCGTGGTGAAATATGGTAAAATAACCTTCATCATCCACTTAGGCGTATGGAGGCCCCTGTTCCATAGTGGACTCACGTGAGGGCTGTACATGCACGTATACGATGTGTTGCTGTGGGGCATGATGGGTGAATAAAGTAAAGCGAACATCATTTATCTCCCCACGTAAATATAAGATGTGTTTTGGTCTGTCAGGCTAAGGGACTTCTGGACTAATGCTACCCAACAGCATTCGTTTCAACGAGATCATTCGGGACCAGTTTTCACTTTTCAGGCCTCATCAGCAAAGCTGGGCTTGTTCACAACTGTTCAGGCAATTGATCTGAAAAAGCAAATAGGCTGATAGACTTTAAAATATATACATGGTCTGTTAATACATAAGCCTATTTCAGTACCAAGACTCTCTCAAGAGAACCCAGAGCAGGAGCAGCCGGCTTCAACAGACCCCAATCCACGCCGTCTCCAATCGACAACCCACGGTGATCTGCCGCTGTGCCCGCTCGTAAACCTTGTGCGGCCACACGCCCAGCACAGCCTCACTGGGCTCTCCGGCCCGAACACCTGAAACGAGCTACCGGTGTCTAATGTTCAGGCACCATCCTCGAGTCCGAGCCAGTTTTGCGACAGACTTAAAACGGCAGTGTTATTCAAAAGAGCCGACTCTGCGTGATCACCGCGGCGCATTCGCGATGGACTGGACCCACAAAAGTGGCCGTCTGGAACGCTCTTCCTTCTGATATTAGGAAGCCACCGAAGCTATGCACTTTTCAATCTAGTTTGAAAACTTATTTCTTCAGAACTTATTTTTGTATTGAGTTTGTTGTCCTTCCCACACACCGCCGATTAGCATGGTTGGCAACGTATGGTGCGAAAGAAGTCCATCATACATAAGTAAAGAGTGCACGATAACAAATGTTCAGACTTCCAAGCTCTAAGTGCTCTCTAATGAGTCGGCACGTGAAATAAAACTTATGGCAGGTAAAATGTGTGTTGCCCGTGCCCTTCAGTGAAGTAATGCACATCGTCCCAGAGTATGGATTTTTCCTACAATTGCAAAATTGTATTCAAGGCTCGTGGGGTCATTATTGTTCTTTCTCAATGCACTTCCCCGCAGGGCCAAGGTCAGAATTCTTCAGTGGAGCAAGACTTGTTTTATATAACTCATTAAAAGTTTGTTTTATGTGTATTGGGTTTTTTTTTTCTGGCAACGTATACAGGGTGACCCGAGAGTTTACATGGAAAATAACAATAAATATTGATGTGTAGCTATCTCTGAAAACTAACTTTGGGGCATTAGACGGCTGAGCGAATTAATGAGCAAACACGTTTACATCATCTGGCAGAGTGCCTGCACGACAACTCGAGTTACGCGAGTTTACATCCAGATTGGGAGGTTGATTTAGCCTATCATCTCCACTCCAGGATGGATAAAATTGGTACCACTTCGTGGGACGTCAACAGTAAATGTCTTATGGAGGAAACTGGCCCCTGTTAAGTGAGTCATGAGACCCAGATTGTGCCAGTTTTGCCAGGAGGGATAGGAATCTGGGCCTAGACTACCTTGCCTGGTTTCGAAAGTAAACCAGCCTTCTTCACAGTCGTCATGTGAATGTGGTATGAATGTAATTAACAGTGATACATTGAAATATATATTCACCCGATTGTACTATCAGGTCACGCTTGCAACTACGAGACTATCCCGGTACATTGAGTTGTTGCCTGGTTCAACAAAACAAACTTGGAAAAACGTCCACTTGGTAATTGGAGTATTATTTCAAGAGACGAAGCATATCTTTGTATCTCTCGTACGGCGATGCAAATTTCTCTGCAATAAATAATGGCCCAGCGAAGGGGACATCACAGAACTACTTCTGAGATCCCTTCACGTGACCTCTGGTGTAATAGTATAAGGCAGCACTTTGTCACCCACCCCGAGACAGAAAGTAATGTTTGTCGTGCGAGTCAACCCAACTTTGCTTTTTTTATTCTGAGAGCAACATTTTTGCAAACTCAGTGCAAAAACCACGTAAAATGTGATTTCTTTGGTGACTGGGCTGAGACCATCAACTCACGACACTTGAGAACCCAGTTTAATAACGGACGACTGAAGCCAGAATTCAAACCCAGGATACCAGTAGCACCAGCTCAGTGCTCTTGCCTAGGATCCACCTGGGAACCCAAAAACACAGCGATAGTCTGAAGAGCCTGAATTCTGCCGACAAGCAACCACCACCTCGATTTAAAGCTTTCGTGACTGCAGGGATTCATCTTCCTGGTTCTTTCGGTAAAGTCACGTAGAATGGAAATAATAAAATAATAACAATAATTATTTTATAATGTTTATTTTTATTATTTTATTATTTCCATTCTACGTGACTTTACCGAAAGAACCAAGAAAATAATTATTTTATTATGCTTTATTTTTATTATTTTATTATTTCCATTCTACGTGACTTTACCGAAAGTACCAAGAAGATGAACCACCACCTCCTCTCCCACCCCCCCCCCGCCCCCCGCGTTTCCCTACCTGGCAGTGGCAGAGGATACACGGCCCCCCATCCGGCCGCCAAGAGGACCCGCCCAGCCGCTGGGCCCCCCGCTCGTCCCGGCAACTCTTGGTGAGGTCCGGCACGACGGCTGCGCCCGAGTCGCCGTCCGTCTCGCAGGGGCTGCTCACGCAGCGAGCGCAGCAGTTGCCCTCGAGCAGCACCGTGTGGCGGCAGTGCAGCTTGGGGCATGGCACGGGCCAGCAGTCCACCTCACCCTGCTGCCGGACGACGGGTCAAATGGAACGCGCGCGCGGGGACAACCGTGCCGTCACCGTCAAATTTGTCTTCTTGGTTTTTCGCCCCCACCCCGATAAATAAAGGTTTACGAGGTATGATAATTGTTTTTTAACCCTTTTATCTGACAACAAAACTGACACATTTTTTACGAGTCATGTTTTCATAAACCACAATACCTGCAGTCATAATGCAAACAAAAACATAACTCTGATAATGTATGCACTGTCCTTGAAGTTGATTGGTCCACACCCGAGACAGCTTTCCTTAGAGCCTAGTCTCACATGGGTTGGACCAGATGACGCCAAAAGGCGCACAACTCAAAGACAATGCACCATCAGAGTATGAGAGCTCGGGGTAAGCAATGCTAACTACGAGGTAGTTAACATTGCCACGGTGGCGATATGTTAACTACCTTGCCTGGTATACAGGAGGTCGTGGGTTCGATCACAACCCTGACGCCTGCTACTGTATATTTGGAGTTTGCATGTTCTCCTCGTGGTCGCGTCCTCCGGTTTTTCCCTCTACATTTAGAAACATGACTTTAGAGTATTTGGCTGCTATACATTTCCACAGGATAAGCCATTTTGTTGAGCTATCATTTGTGACCAGGTCGCTTCTGAAAACAAAGCTATATATAGCTCAGTGGGCCTTACCTGGTAAAAAAAATGCTTTTCATAGTTCAGTTTAATAGTATCTCACGTGTGCTGGAATATCATAAGACAAAGGCGAAACTTCGCCAAGTTAAACGCAGAACAAAATTCGATGTCTTATGGGACGAAGCATCCATCCAGATCCGACTCCGATCAGTGGGACCCACTGCCTTGGAGAATTAGCACAGATAAGTGGACATCAGGGAGCTGCATCTGAGATCCCTTCAAGTGACAGACGGGACCACAAAGTAAGGGCAGCACTCTCCCACTCGCACCGCAACACAGAGTAATGTTCATCGCACGACGGTTAAAAACGACATCAGGATCAAAATCTTTATTTAGACTGGAGGAATCCAATGAGCTATGAAGTTATTTTTTCCCAGACGTCCAGTTGGATATGTTTAATTCCCATATATAAAACCAACTTCAACGTGATGGATTTTTTTTACGTACAGTCATTGCTCACTGGGCCAAGACCATTAACTCACGACTCTTGACAAGCCGATTTAATCATGGAACTCTGAAAGGCAGATCTTAACTTAGGATATTAATGGAGCTCCCTCAGTGCTCCGACATCGTAATAAACCTCCTGAACTTACATGAAGTACACACCGTACAGTTATACGATCACATATTCTCATAGAAATAAAAGGTCACTTGTGTACATCCCAAGCCGCGTTCTTTCGAAAGGCGAAATCGATCGCCAACAAATCCACGGAACGAATGACGCTCGCAAAAGAGTCATTAAAAACTTCGCCGAGCAAAGTCTGCCTCGGGCTGCCGTCGCCCTGCAGCGGTGGCTGCTCGTCATTGGTGACTGGTGGGGCCAGGCCCCCGCCAAGTGTAATAAGACGGAGAAACAAAAAACACTGAACAACCTACCTGTAGTAATAGGTTTTTACCCTTTCAATTGGTACAAAAACTGACACCTTTATACAAGGCATCATGTTTGCAATAACCACAACACAAGCAGTCAAAATGCAAACAAAAAGAAACAACTCTGATGATGATAATGATATGCACTGTCCTTGAAGTTGATTGGTCCACACCCGAGACAGCTTTTCTTAGAGCCTAGTCTCCAGATGACGCCTTTTGGCGTCATCTGGTAACCAATGTGTGGACCAATCAACTTCAAGGACAGTGCATATCATTATCATCATCAGAGTTGTTTCTTTTTGTTTGCATTTTGACTGCTTGTGTTGTGGTTATTGCAAACATGATGCCTTGTATAAAGGTGTCAGTTTGTGTACCAGTTGAAAGGGTAAAAACCTATTACTATATTTTGCCACTGGTAAAGGAGGTCTCATACTATAAACACCTACCTGCCCATTTGAGGATAATGATGTACATGTATTGGCTGTTTCGGTAAAGTCACGTAGAATGGAAATAATAAATAATAAACATAAAACATAATAAAAAATAATAATTCTCACGACGTTTCGGCCACAACGCAAGCAGCCGTCCTCAGGTGGCGAACAGGTCTGTCGAGAAGACACCTGAGGACGGTTGCTTGCATTGTGGCCGAAACGTCGTGAGAATTTTAATTTTTTTATTATGTTTAATTTTTATTATTTTATTATTTCCATTCTACGTGACTTTACCGAAAGAACCAAGAAGATGAATCCCTGCAGTCACGAAAGCTTTAAATCGAAATGGATTGGATGCTTTAATGCCCCAGTAAAGCAACTGATGTCGACACATTATCACGAACATTTTCCACGCCCAGGCGTAGTTTTTATTTAAACCTAGGGGACCCCCTGATGGCAGCCTATCCCTATATGGGCTGACGTAGCACTGGCCTGCAGGTGGGCCTTAGTTTGGTCAGTTCAGTCGGGGGAGATGCTGCTCTTGGTTAATCCAATTAATCGTTTCCCGTTCCGAGGCATCTGCAAGTTGCAAGGTGTTTCCCCGTCACCACTGAATCTCGGAACGTGCAAGCGGGTAGCGTTAATTTTATTTAGAGGCATAGCGCCGTTGTTTTTAAAGATATTGTCCTCACCGCAGAGAACTGTAGCGACACGACCGCACTCTATGAGAACTGGTGATAAAACGTGCAACACCCCCTCCCGCATGGCCTCCTTCCGATTCTGTTCCGACGACATACGTGTACGATGCTGTAAACGTACGTCATCGGAATGGAATCGGAAGAAAATTTGATGACGCACACGTACGTCATCGGAATGGGTTAAGTATACACCTCTCCGTCCCACCCACTCCTCCCCCTCCTCCGCCCACCGCCCCCCACCATTTTCGTCTCCATGGCCAACCAAAATACAGTATGTCCCCACCGGCCGCCACTGCCCTGCGGACACTCTAAGGCACAAGGTGCAAGGTGGCTCTTACCAGACAGCGGCAGGACTGGCAGTCGTGGACCCACGTGTCCCCGCTGCGGTACGTCACCTGCCCGTTATGGCTCTGGCAGTGGCTGGTGATGCGGTTGTCACACTCGGGGCAGCAGAAGAGGTCCACGTTGGGGTTGTCGCACTCGCACATGGTCCGCCGGCAAAACACCTGACCGTTCTGCGCGGGACACACGGGCGACGGACGAGCGGGCGTGAGATCCCAGAATCGATGTCGTCTCGTCCCCGTCCGTGTTCACGCCATCCCATCCGTCTCATCGCGTCTGCGTTGGCCGTCTCGTGGAGCTGCGGGCCAGACGCTTTGGCGCCTTGGACAAACGTGCCCATCCCGAAGGCTCAAGGAAATTAAAACGTTGAATGTTCATGTTGATCTATGGATGGTCTCCCAATTTATTAAGGGCAACTATTTACCGCGTGTGATACTTTGCACTGCTGCCGAGTAAACGTTCAACAGGTGAGAGTGACACAATGGAAAGGCAAATGTAACAAGTTTAAATGCTGGTAACTACTCACAGCGCAGGTGACAGCCAGTCTAGGTCAAATCTACAATGCAGGTGAGTTACCCCCGGTAATACCCAGCACAGGTTAGACCCAGGTAAGTAAGCACATGTAGGTAAACAGAGGTGAGCTCCATCCCCGGTGAGACTCACCAAACAGATAAATAAACACAGGTAAGTAAGCCCAGGTGAGAAGCATCCCAGGTAAGTAATAACAGGTAAATAATCATGACAAGTTAGCAAGCCCAGGTGAGACCCACCACGCAGGTGCACACGGAGCAGCGGTCGCCCAGCAGGGTCCACACGTGGCCGTTGCGCTTGGTCTGCCCGTCGTGCAGACACTCCCCGCTGCAGTGCTGCCCGCTGGGGCAGCGGCAGTCGTAGCTGCCCTCCAAGTTCACGCACACCGTCTGGTTCTGGCAGCTGTGCCGCCCGGTCACGCACTCGTCAATGTCTGGTGAGGGAGGGAAGGGGAGGGAGGGGGAGGGAAGGGGGAGGGGGAGAGAGGGAGGGGGGAAGGAGGGAGATAGGAGGGAGGGGGAGGGAGGGAGGGAGAGAGGTGGGGGAGAGGGGGGGGAGAGGGGGGGGGAGAGGGGGGGAGGGAGGGAGGAAGGGAGGGAGGGGGGAAAGGGAGGGAGGGGGGAGGCAGGGGGGAGGGAGGGAGGGGGGGAGGGAGAGAGGGAGGGGGGAGGCAGGGGGGAGGGAGGGAGGGGGGGAGGGAGAGAGGGAGGGGGGAGGGAGGGAGGGGGGGGAGGGAGAGAGGGAGGGAGGGAGGGAGGGGGGGAGGGAGAGAGGGAGGGGGGAGGGAGGGAGGGGGGGAGGAAGAGAGGGAGGGGGGAGGCAGGGGGGAGAGAGTGAGGGGGGGGCGTGATACACAGACACCTGTCAGTATGTCCGGAGAGGACTTGTAACAAAATGCAATGATGAGGCTTTGCGTCAGTTTCCTCTAAATGTGATTGTGTTTTTTTAGCAGTAGTTTTTATTCCGAGTTGGTGCAGCATGAATTTCGCGCATATGACCAAATCATGATCACAATCATATTTTATACAATTATATTATTATTTATAATGTGCCTGCCACGTAGTACATCCTCGATGCATTAAATGCAATGTACCCGATACTATTCCAATTTCGAACCGGGCTCTTACTTAAAACAACGGGTAACCACATTTCTGTTCATCAGACCTTCCACCACAAGACACAGATTTGGCATCTTGATGACACAAATTTGCTCCGGTCATTTTCGTGGCCAAACCCTGTTTGGTGTTTGAACATCTTAACACCTGCTTATTTGCCAGAAAGGGTAAAAACCCCATTCTTATACGATGCGTGAAGTTTGGTTAGATAATTTAGACAAATATCGTCGGATCGTTTAACGTGACCTAACCGTCCCCCCAAAAAAAATCCTCTCGTCACGAATCAATCGCTCGACGCGTTCGCCCCTTCGGAGACTCGATTCAACGACGGCCCCAGCGGACCGGTGCCGGCTGATTCGGTGGCGTCGCGTCTGACCGGTGCAGCTGTCTCCGTTGAGAGCGAAGCTTCCGTTGTCGTGGTACCCGGCGCGGCACTCGCAATGGAACCACCCGGGGAGATTGACGCAGTGCGTGTTGGGGTGGCACTGCGCGATGCCGACAGAGCACTCGTCCACGTCTAAGCGAGGAGACAAATCACAAGCGGGGAGTTGGGGGGAGGCGGTGCGGTTGCTTCATCCCAACGTCGCTTCCCAAAAACAACAACAACAACAACAAAACGCTCGTCAAAAGAAAAGCACTGCAATATTCAAAGTGTATCGTGACATGTCTGAAAAAACAGACACACACACACTGGCACATGCCTCAACACTTTCCGGCGATGTGTTTTTTCTGTCTCTCCCTCCCTCCCTCTCGGCAGTTTGCTTTGAAACGGATGTTTTTCACCCGTATTTCTTTATTCACGTGCCATTTATAAGATGCACTGCCCGACTTTGCTTCCGGCGCAGCAAGGCGATAATGCGATTGATGCGAGCGAAGGGATTTGTGTAAAAGCGGCGAGACGCAATGGGAGGCGCTCACGTGGAGGAGCTCGGAGAGAGACACAGAGAGAGAGAGAGAGAACGAGAGAGAGAGAGAGTGCGCGGGGATTTCTAACATCAAACAAAAAGGGCGATAGCATGGCGAGAAGAAAAAAACCGCACGCGGCTCGTCGCGTAATCCACACTAAACCCTGAGAACACAAGGAACTTGAGACCGGCAAAGCCCTCCTAGCTCATCGGGGAATCGCTCTTGCCCCGTCGACGCTCCAGCGAGCTCTGCAGCGCGAAGCGAAACCTCCTTTAATTGAATTACGCCGCTAATTAACGGCGCCCCCCCCCCAAAAAGACGGTCTCCGGCATCGTGGTGGAACACCGCACGGAACAACGGGTTCCTCGTCGGGGGCCCGAGCCTCAAGGCCCGCCGTTTAATGTTGCCGCCGCTGCGTTTCCCGTGGCAGGTAGAAATTTCATTTACCTTTGTTCACGCTCATCCCGTCTAGCAGGACAAGTTTTTTTTGCTTCCTTGAAGCAACCTGATCGTGCTGACGCTGCCCGAGTGTTGAGTTTGATGAGGGTGGGCGCACACTGAAGCCGGACGAGTCTCTACGATTGAACGCAGTGGGCTGCTCACATTGTTAGCAGCCAACAAAGGCGATGAGTTAAGATCCCTCAAGATAACTTGGGTTCCATTGCGCGAGAAGAGACGACTTTGTTGAGATGAGATTGGGGGCCGTTTGACGAGCTGAGAGCAGCCGGATGAGAGTGTCCTATTTATGGAAGTTTTACTGCTCTGTGTGGATCAGGACTTGACGTTTGTAGTTTTGGGGCCGCATTGTGCTGCTGTAAAGATATTTATACTGACGCATTTTCTTGAAGGCCCGCCCATACTGGACATCGGTGAAAAATAGCTTAATAATAGCTCATCGGATTCCTCCAGTCTAACTAAAGATTCTGGTTATGATACTCTTGGGTTTTATCGGTAAAGTTACGTAGGTAAAAAATAAATTAAAATTAATAAAGTAATAATAGAAAAAAAAATTCTTGATATGGTAAATCTAGCTGTGACGGTCCCACCTGATGACAGAGACTTGTGTTGCCTCCAAAACGGCGTGTTTTATTAATTTTAATTTGTATTTCTATTATTACTTTTATTAATTTTAATTGTATTTTTTTACCTACGTGACTTTACCGAAAAAACCTAAGAGTATGAATTCTGGTTATGAACTTGTAATCTTAAGTCGACATTTAGAGTATTCTTAGGTTAGTTTTGAGATGAGGAGAGACGAAATCAGAGAGTTTGGTGGCCACTACTGGACAAAAACCACGAAGGAAAGGAATGCCTCTTTTCCCAAACAGTGGGAACTTACTGGCAGACAATGACAGCAACGACATTGCCTAGACATTGCCCAGGCATTCTATGGGAACCTCATTTGCCAGTAAAAATATGATAATTGTTTTTTTATCCTTCTATCTGGCGCCTTTTGGCGTCATCTGGTCCAACCCATTTGAGACTAGGCTCTAAGGAAAGCTGTCTCTGGTGTGGACCAATCAACTTCAAGGACAGTGCACATTATCAGAGTTATTTCTTTTGTTTGTATTATGACTGCAGATATTGCCGTCTATGCAAACATGACTCCTTGTAAAAAGGTGTCAGTTTTGTTGCCAGATAGAAGGGTAACAAACCAATGCCCAGGCATTGTTACATAAAGAGTAACTTAAACTTAACAGCTTGGGTGAGAAGTGGGGACACGGGCCTGGGGGCTATTGGCTGAGGGGTTGCAGGAGAAATGGCCCAGCACATGGGCATCGCGTGTGATTTGTCTAGATGCATGTGTCTTACGGTTGTTCGTAACTCGGCTACGATAAGTCGACCGTGCGCCTTCCAGTAAAGGCTGTGTGTAAGCTAATTAATTCAGTCGCTCCGAGAAAAAGTTGGCCCATTTTTAATAGGTTGAGAATGTTTTTCTCTTTCCGTAGGCATTCTCAACAATAGATAACAAAGTTATATTTTCTGAACTTCAACAATACACATGTTTTGTGCGATAAAAGTATTGTGACGAGATTGACATTTTAAAATCCCATTTGGCAAAAATGGCCTTAAGGGTTTATTGGTTGCAGATCTGTGCGTGTAAAAAAACAGTCTTAATATATAGACGGCGTATTATTTGTATTCGGTGAGCAATAATCCATCTGCCCCCACAGGCAGCAGATTCAATAATTTGTCATAATTCATCATCATTATCAAATTTTTAAATGTATTTTTTTGAGTATGTGAAATTTGTAATGGTAGCAATTCACATATAAATATATACCGTATGTATACCTCACAGAGGATGGCTTGACGACATAAGAGATTGGTGTCAGAAAGATGTGGCACGACTTGAGCATATTGTCACAAGACAGAGGAAAGTGGGAAACATGACGAAATGTGCAATGGACACCTACGGGCGATCTGCCCATAGTTCGTGACAGAGGTGGGACAAAGTCATTGTTATGCAAGTCCAAGTCGAGTCTGAAGTCATCAAATTCATGACTCGAGTCTGACTCGAGTCCAAGTCACATGACTCGAGTCCACACCTCTGGTTCGTGATAATGATGATGTGATGATGATATCGTGTATGATCCAGTCACATATTATCACGAGAAAATAAGGGCAAGGTGCAGCCCTGCTATTTTGTTTCTTCGTGCCACTGCTGGCAGAAGGGCCTCCAACTCGGGGAGGATTTTTAAAGAATAGATTCCCAAATGCACCATTCAGTGCATGCATGGTGCGCGCACAGATCTCCTTTCAATCGACAAACCGATGCATCGTCACGTGCACGGTTGAATAATTCTGCCTTTTACGAATCTTCGAGAAAATAACAAACAAACAATAATCTCAACTAAGGCCAACGGTGCACGGTGGAACACAATTGCTGCGATACTGCTGGTGGCACGAGCACAAATAACAAAAAAAAAACAACTTAACACGACCATCAATAATACTGCCCTAAAGGGGCAGGCATTTTTTGTTTTGGATCTAACACGCGACGTTTATTGCAGGCAATGGCCTTTCCTCGTGGAGACTCTGCAACGGTCCCGTTTATGAGTCGCCAAAGTGTCCGCACGTGTGTAACTCTCCAGCCCCATGCGCAATTGCTACGTAAATTAGAAGCAGCAGACGCCCCGCGCTTTCTATTGCCAAGCTTAGCCCCAGAGCCAGCACCCGATGAATTATTTATGCAGGTGGCAGTTGGGCGCCTATAGCCGTGGGCTGTGCGCCCAGCCACGTTTATTGCACAGCGGCAGTTGATGGCGCTGCTTCTCTCACTGGCTCATAATTAACAAATCATGCAAGTGGTGGCGTAGGGTAATGGTGGTGGGGGGGGGGGGGAATGCATCGTGTCCGCCCGGTGTAAATTTGGGCTTAATTTGCGGCGCTGTCTTCCCTGTAATCACAACCAGGCCGGCACCAGGCACTCACTCATTGCTCGAGCCAGTCGTGAAATATTTCATTAGCGAATTTTGTGGGCGGTCCAAACGCGCGTTTTTCAAACTGCAAACGACCGCACGTCCCAATGTCCGCCCCATCGTCGAAATGAGACGCTGCGCGAAATCGTCAATCAATCATCAATCAACCGATCCATCAATGCATTTGCCAAAGAGGCCCAGAATGACAGGCCACTGGGATAACGAGCCCCCCCTTTGTAAAGGAGACCTTGGACAAATACAATGAAGAAAAAATTCACGGAGGGAAAAAAAAAATCAGTACACTCAACAATGGGTCATTACGGCTAACAGCAGACTAAAGCCTCAAGAGTCAGTCCACTGTTGGATGAAGGCTTCCCCATGCCGTGTCGGTAGTGGAGGTAATCTTTTACTGATCCTAGGGTGGCCACGACCGGGTCAAATACCACTCGCCACAACGGCAGCCATGTTTTGGAATCAAACTCAGGTCACTAGGTTCATTTCGCAGTGTGCTTTTGACGATACGATTATAATATTCCACAAACAAACACACGTAATGTATGACAGTAACCAATGATATATATTAAAAAAGACACTGGGGCATACGATGGCAAATACACACACCACTGGCTGACGGCCTCCAATTGGGATGAACTCCATCCCTTTGCCCATTAAGGCAACTAGATACTTTGACTCTAACTTGAATATTTATATGCAAATAAAAATGTCAATGTGGCTCTATATGAATAGAGTACGATAATGGCGGTGCACCGTGCCATGAACCCAGTGAACCGAGATGCATTCCCGTTCATGGCGAGCATCAGTTGTGATTGATGACCGCAATGATCTCTGCTCGTCTTCCCTTCTACAACCCACACTGACCAACATGGTGAAGTATGGTCAAACATACTCTTTGGCTTTTTCGGAAAAGTCACGTAGGTTAAAAGAAAAAAATTAATTATTTTAACCTCCGTGACTTTACCGAAAAAAACTAAGAGTATGAATCCTTGCAGTCACGAAAGCTTCAATTCTAGAATGGTCAAACAACCCCAATGACTGCCAACGTCGTTCGGGACGCTTTTATTTAGCAGTTGATTGAAAATGGGCTGCGAATGATTATTTATGAAAGACAACCTTGGACATATATAACTGCTGCTTTATGCTTACCGTTAAAACTCGTGAAGGAAAACGT